GTTCTGCAATCTTTTACGAATTTTTGATTGCGAATAGTTCATTTTTCAATTTAATCTACTCGGTTTGGCACTTTTTTTTTATATTTTTAATTTCAAATTTAAATTTAATTCGTTTATCATTTGAAATATTTTATTATTTTACTTTTTCCGAAAATATTCGATTATTGTAAAGTTTTTCCGATTTTATTCGCTTAATTACTACTTTAATTGAATTCCATAATTTCGAGCTATTTAGCCACTAAAGATGGCTCTTCCAGCAGTTAGATTGATTTTTACATTTCACTTTTAGGCTACTCTTGTCAAGTAGTGTACTTGGCGTGCGTACTTGCTCTTCCAGCCAAGTGAGCAAAATTTTTGGCAAAATTTTTAGTCCCATAATTTCCCATAATTTCGAGTTATTTAGTAAGAGACAGTAAAGATGGTTCTTCCAACAGTTAAATGGATTTTTATATTTAACTTTCGGCTTTATTCTTGGCAAATAAGCCAAGTAGTGGTGACTTTTTAGCAAAATCTTCTAGTATGCTAATAGCCAGCAGAAGTGAACTTATGAACCGCTAATGCTACTTATCTATCATTCTCTCTTTTGCCAAGAGAGAAGAATCGAATTAATGTTTTTTCTCTTCAAGCTTCTAAGACTTTCATAAAGTTGCTTGCTGTTTTTTATTCTAAGTAGTTTATCCAGTTTTTTTTCCATAATTATTTCGGAAAAGAACGCCAATCGCCACAACGAACGAATGTTTCGACGAGAGTTGTTGCTGATGATGATTTTTGCGTTGTTTTTCAGTTTCTGTTACTGCTTTACTGTTGAATTTTATTTACAATAATGCAAAATTTTCAGTCAATAAATTATTTCCTCATTTTTCTCTGATTAACTCTGTCATTGTGATCGAACAAATTTTTATTTATTACTTTATTATATTTGAAAAAAAGTGCAATTTTTTTCTATGAACGCTCATTTTTCATAGTCGGTTGGATTAGAGAAATTTTGCCAGGAAGCGTTATCATTTTGCGTTTGAAATAAAAGTGAATGGCTTGTATCATTCAGTTTTTTTTGGAAAACATGTTTACTCATGCGAGGAGTGGAACATCGGCTTCAGTGCTCCGAAATGAGAGGAATAACGCACTGAGCCATTTTAAAAAATAAGATTTTTATTCTTTCATGCAATTATTTATATATGTTTTATTGTATAAAGTAAAATTTAAAGACCCAAAATAATAAATTTTATTGAAAATTGCAATTTTTACACGACATATTTCAAATCGATTTTCTGTTATTAATTTATTTATCCTTTTTAATACTACTGGTGCTACTTCTAAGTACATTGTTATGTATTATTATTTAATAAGTTATTTAGCGTCCAGCATTTCTGGTGTTGGGGTTCGCCAGCTGTTATTATGGCGGGAAATTTTATCCAGAGCGTTACTTGTGGATAGAATTACAGACGGAACAACAGCATCACTACCTATTTGTTAGCAGCACATCTATTCTTGTCGAAGGCAGCTTCCGACTCGTAATGCTAAGGCGATAATCTAAGCAAAAATCGCTCAGCAATTTCGCCCCTTTAAAATAATAATAATTTTTTTAATAATGCCATTTATATTATTGCAGTAAAATTTAACGAAATTTAAATTTAACAAAATTTGAATATTCGTGTTAAAAGTTAAAATACTGGAGATATATTGAAGAATTCCTGTTAATTTTTATTTATTTTATATGTATTTTTAATGATTTTAGGTTATTTTTATTTGTTTCTAATGTGATTTTCAGGTTTTGTTCAATGTTAAAACAAACAAATATCCTGAAATTCATATAAAAAATAATATTAAATATTAATGATAATAAGAAAAATAAACTTTTAGTGCAACATAATAAAATTGATATTATCACTTGTAGGCACCAATTTCTCAAAATTCATTATTTTCTTCCGGGATTAAACTTATTTCGGAATCGATTCCATGCATTGCAACTTATGGATTATTTAAACCATTTTTCATTTTATAAGAATACTTTCTAGTTGACTTTAAAAATAAACTTAGGTTATTTTTTTCTAAATTTTTATTCAAAGTTTGTTTGAAAAAACCTGCAAAATTAGTGAATTTCATAAAAATTTACAAATTTATAAATTTACAAAAATTTATTGAATAATAACTAATGAATAACCATTGATGCCGAAATCTTCCTTCAAAGCCATTAAAAAGCAGTCGAACTAGGACATAAAAAAGGTTTGAGGGGTATTAATGTTTAAGGGATGTTAGTGCAACGTAGTTAAGAAAGATTTGGGTGGAGGCGTGCAACAACTGAACCTTTAAAAAAATCGTTCACTTCTTTTTCGTAGCTTTACAAATTTCTGACAAATAATTTATTATCCATAAGGGAAAGTATCTTTTTTTTGCTTATTTCACCAATATCTTCGGTTATTTCAAGATTTCATGATAACTTATCACAATAAATTAAACGACTAACTTCCTAGACTAAAATTTCTAATTTGATATTTAAGTGATCGCTTTTATCATAAAACTAGCGACTTTAAGTGATAATGTTCTATTTAATAATACTATTTTCGATCTTTTAAAAGAAATATAACAGCTGGGCGGTATAATCTCCTAATAAATGGCAATTTCCACAGCTGATTCTTGTTATGTGGTAGTCGTTTTTCTAATTTATGACATTTTGCAAATGTTTATGGTTTGCGAAATAGCCAAAGAATTTCCATAATAAATTTATTATATGTGCTTGATTCCCCTTTACTGAACGAAACTGACTACGGTATACCGCCTAGCGAGCATTTGTTGATGTACTACCAGCACTTTTATTGTGTAGCATGCAGTTTATCTCTTGTACTTCAAGTGCCAAGCCTCACTTTCTGTTCGTAAGGGATATGGAGGGAAGGGATATGCCTTCAAATTTATATATTATTATTTATATATTACATCGGATGATCAAAGAATTTTTGTTTTATTCGCAAATATTTGCTTATTGTGGAAAAGAAATTCGGAGGGATTTTTTTTGAAAATTTGAAAATTTTTTAAAATAACTTTACGAATAAAAGATATGGAATTTTGAAAGTGATTTGATTGAGTATATATTCGTGGATGCAACAATTTTTTCGCGAAAACTTGGACCCTCCATTTTATATAAAATATTGTCTAAAAATAAATTTGTTCTTCTTTAATTATTATTTCTTTTATTTAACCAACATTTTTCCTTGTTTTTATTAATTTATTTTTAATATTTCTCTTTAAATTTATTAAATTTTTCATAATTTGTATTAGAAATTAATTTTTAAGTCCTTGGCAGAGAGAGAATTTTAATCTTTTTCCTTTATTGCATTTTTTAAAAAAGTAAAAAGGTGGACAAACGAATAGATAGTGGATTTTTAATTGTCGTGTGAATATCGGGGTCTGCTTCCGTAAATTCCGAAAATTCATCAAAAATCCCGAGTGGCCATCAAATCCACATGTTTATGCTCCTATGGCCTAGTAACCTTAACTAACTAATAATTAAATTAACTGCTTACTTATTTATTTTATAAGAGTAAAACTTTTTGCTGCTGCAAATTTCTATAAAGAATTTATATAGTTTTATAATTGACAATTTTTTAAGCGAAGAAAATTTATCTAAAATAAAACATTACGATAGTGATCCTTAGGGTATAGTTTTGATACAATTAACATTTGTTATATATCAATTTCTATGTCACAAAATGGTCGCTTCGATTTAAGTAGCAATTCAATTCAGTTCTTTGTTCTGATATAGAAAAATTAAGCTCGGGCGCTTGCTGGAGATACTTGCACTTTCATCTTCAAGTAACTCTCTAGCAAAAGTAGCTCACTCTAGTAGTGAATGGAGTTTGTTAAACCAGAAATGGGATGTGCTTTAAGAAGAAAAATGTTCGAGAGATATTTATTTTTCTCCTAATCAAATAGTTCGTTGATGCCGTTCGTTTTTCCTAAGTGTCTTCCATTTTTTTAAAAATATGATATCTTTTTACGCTGTTTGTTTGGTATTTGGCATTTGATATTTCGTGGCAAATTTCGAGCTTTATTAATTCAATATTCATATCAGTTATCATATGGATCACGAAAAGACTTTTAGCTAGTGATGAGATGCTGGGGTGGTTCGCCTTTTTGACTATTTCGATATATTCGCCAGTTGTATTCACTCTCAAACTATGTAAGCTTTATTTAATTGATTCTCTATCAATAATATTAACTAAAAGCAAAAAAGCTAAATTCATCATGCCTACATAGCGACCTCAGCGGATATATTTTAGGACAACTGGATATATGGATGTTGTTTCTAAGTCCTTTTTGAAAGTTTTTGCTCGTGAAAGGCAAATTTCTACCAACTAGACAATTTATTATAAAAATTTTCGCATTTTTTTATTGATTATGAAAATTTTTGATATATTCATTCGAAAATTATAATTTATTGACAAATTTATTAGCGAATAAATGATAATTCAGATTTATTATTCATGATGAAGTTAGATTAAAATCTCCATGATGCCATGTCAGATGCACTTTGCATGACATTGACCTTTTCGTTAATCATAAATAAATCAACAACCGTGAAAATTAATTTTCCTGCCTATTTGCCATTGGATGAAATTCAATTTGCAGTGACAATAGTATTGATAATATAAAAAAATAATAAAACAAAATAATAGTAATAATTGTGATCGAATTAAAAAGCAGTTTTTTTTGTGAAAAGCAAAAATTAATTTTATTGAAATTAAAAATTTTAAAAATTTTTCATTTCTTTTGTAAATTTGAAATTATTTGGATATTTAAATTCAAAAAACTACAAATTTTAAGGGAATTAAAATTTTTTTCATCGAATATTTTGGGATTTTTTCATTAATTTTCAATTCAACAATTATGTAAAAAAGAAAAAAAAGAATAAAATAAATTAATAAATGAATTGATGAATAAAATTTATGAATGTAAAATTTATGAATGAAATAAGAAATAAGTTATAAGTTATAGCTGAATGTATCGTTAATGCATTAGGAATGGAATCGGGCGATATTAGGGATTCGCAAATATCCGCTTCAAGTAGTTTTGATGCTATTAGTGTTGGACCTCAAAATGCCAGGTTTGCTTCACCTTATTTATTCTGCAAACGAGAAGTTAATATGACATTGGCTTAAATCGAAAACGAGAATTTGCCAAAAACTGAAATAATTTATAAAATTAATCATTTATTAATTATTAATTACTAATCAAGAAATGAAGATGAAAACCAATTCTGAATTTTTTATTCACAGAATTCGCAAACAATTGGCAGCCGGTGCTTGGTGCCCATTTCAACAAATAAGAGATGGTGCATATGAATTTTTGCAGGTTCGTTGACTTCCCTTTAGCACGGAATATTTTTAATTCCGTTGGCTAATAGTGTAAAATGTAAAATCCTCTCGTCACAGTGCACTTAAACGTTTAGATGCAGAAAAACCTCCTTCCAACAACAGCCCGTATTTCATTTTTAATAATTGTTCCACGCATACTTGCATTTTAATAGAGATGCTTCAATTAAACTATCTGTAAAGAACATTTTCTTTATCTTATTTAACTTGATTATTTAAATGCATATGCTTTTGTACTATGAAAATCACTGGTTAAAGTAAGATGATTTGATTGCAAATAAGGTTTCGATTCATTTTTTTTTCTAAGAACCCTCACCAGTTCCAATTAGGCTAAATTCGCTGGCTTACTGAAGCAGTCAAATTTTGTCAACGAGTCAATAAGCAATAGAAATGCAGGGTGCCAATATCACCCGGGCTTTTTAAAATTTGGATGGAATCCCTACTGAGAATAGAGCATCGGCTCTTCAAAATGACAGCATTAAGCCATTCCACATCTTCCACTTAGCGAAATTTATCTTATCATTTTTAGAAACGCCTTTAAAACATTTAATAATTGAATTTTTCAGATCACTTTTGATGAAGTGCATATAATCACAGATGTTGAAACTCAAGGACGATTTGCTGGAGGTGCAGGCAAAGAATTCGCAACACATTATATGATTGACTATTTACGTACCGGAAGCCAGTGGATGCGTTACAAATATCGGAACTCATCGCACTTAATTGAAGCAAATAAAGATGTTTCAACTGCTATTCGACATACACTCGATCCTCCAATTATCGCATCTCGAATTAGATTAGTACCATACTCGTACTATCCACGAACCGTCTGCTTGCGGACTGAGTTATATGGATGTCAGTACAAAGGTATATCAAGTCTGGATCAAAATATTTACCAATATTATAAGTTAAAACGAGTCCACAACAATTCATGGGAACATCAAGCATAACCAAGCTTTACTGAATTTTCGAAATCATTTGGGGATTTTCTAAATTAAGTGATATATCCATTTTAATTTCAGAAGGCCTATTGTTTTATTCGATGAACTATAATGGATCTCAGATTGGTGGAAGAGATTTTCATGATAATTTATTTGAAAACACTGCCACAACGAGTAAAATTAGCGGCCTCAGCAAGTTGATTTATCGATTTCCAAATTCCTGAAATTAATTATCTTAATTTTATATCTATATTTATAAAAATTTAAAACAATTAAAGTCAAAAAATCTTCACAAGATCAATGTATATTTGTAAAACTTCAGGGGTCTTGGTCTTCTAAGTGATGGGCAAATTGCTATGTTTGATCCGTTATTAAATTCTTTGTCTAATACTATTTCTGAATGGGTTGGATGGAACCAGTCTGAAACGAGTGAGTTTTAATTCTTCGCAAAAAAAATCATCACATTTTTCCATTTGTGAAAAAGAGAGGCTGTGAGGGTTGTATTGTTTAGACTCATTAAGAATCGAATTAGGTCAGTACCACACTCGTACTATCCACGAATGGGTTGTTTGTTCATGGTTCTCCATCTTTTACTTACGGTGTCATTGAAACCAATTTTTCTAATCTTCAAATGAATCTCGAGTGAATGTTTCATTAATAATTATTAATAACGAGTCAAATTCGTAATAAATTTAAAAATTACGAATTTTGAATTGTTAATAAAATGACAATTAAAAATGGCAAAAATTCTTTAGTTTTCTTGCATCAAATTTTAGGAAAATGATTTTTTGAATTGCCTTGGGGAATTTCTGTGAAAACGAGTAGATTTTAGTATAATTTCATAGTTTAAGCCAAACTATTGTTTATGCCATAATAAAATAGATCGATCATTTATCGTATAAAATAGCGACGGACGAGAGATTCGCTATGCCTATGGTCTCGAAATTTTAAACATGTTATTTCCCATATAAAATTCAAAGCTATGAAAATTTCTCGAAAAATTCTGCAACAGCGCAGTGTTCCAATAAAATTTAAATTTCAATGTATATGCATTTTAATATAAAAATTATTTTTTTATTTTTTATGCTTTGAAATATCTCTCACCATCAATCACCTCGCACCATTTCTGGTTTGGCTAGTGCAGTGAGCCAAAATGCAATAAATAAATAACCAAGGTGATTAATGTTCACCGTTTAAGGCTCGTTTTACTAGTTGTTAATATGAGTGAGAAATAGAAATTTCTGCCAGAGAATCACATGTGGATAGCAGATAGGTCACCAGTGCCGCCAAGGTTTTTGTCAGGCTTACTCTTATCAGAAATCGAACTCTGACGCTCCACGCAGATCACATCACTCGCTCCCCTTTACCCAGTGCAGATAGCAAGGTAAATTGGATTTCATTTTTAATGATTGTTCGGGTTTGTTCCTATCAGGAAGGCCATCGTTTTATCGTGTCATCACGTTTCTAAATATAATTTATCATTTATCATTTAAGATTTAAATGGATTTCTCTATTGGTTAAAGTAATAATTTATCTGAGTTATTACTATGATGAATTTTTATTAGTCTATTGGGTTTTATGCTAATTTAGATGGATCAGTAGAATTAACTTTCGAATTCGATGAAATTCGCCAGTTCTCTTACGTTGAACTGTGGACTTATAAAAATTCGCTGAAAAAAACAGAGATAACTTTTAGCACAAATGGAAAACAATTTTCATTATCGTCTCAAATCTCCTCCATACAGGTTAAAATCAATTCTGCATTTCTTTTTCTTTCCCATTTTCTGGTACCATTGGTCCAGGCTTTCTTGGTAATTCTGCTTTATTCCTTTTCATTTATCTATTTTAATGCATAAAATAAAGAAAATTGCAAAGAAAATTGATGCTTATTACGACCCAAATAATTATTATTTTGCAATTTTTTAGCGAAAATCTACCAACGAAACCGAATTGCGACGTTTGCCAATTCGGATTCCTCTTCATGGTCGTCGAGCAATTGCTATAAGAATGATCCTAAATTTTACTGATTCTTGGCTTTTTCTCTCTGAAATCTCCTTTTCATCAAGTAAGTTAGTCATATTTCTTTCCAATTTAAAAATCTTTGAAGATTTTATGAAAAAATCTTAGCATAGACATAGCTTATTAACTGGCAATAAAATTTTCCTTCTCGTTCCTGATTTTTGTTAAAAATTAAAATTATTTTGGATAATCCACTAAATTTACTAAACAAATATTTCTTCAAAATCAGTTCAAAATTTTCAGAAATCGATTCGCCAACATTTTCTACAACGACTTTTGCAACAAGTAATTTAAAATTCTAAATCACAAAATTCTTGCATGACTCTTTTTTTAAGAAAAATCTTTTTTTTTAACATTAATCGGTCATGTTGCTTGGCTGCAATGGTAAAAAGGTAATATTTTCAAGCCTCTTTATGCTATTAATTCAACGAACACTTTTCAGATGTGCTTGCTACTACTCATAACCCAACCATTATTGCAAGCAAGGATAATATTAATCTCACTTATTTTACCATTTTTTTTATTGGTATTTATTTCGAATAGCTATTTTAAAATTTTTTGAGATATTTGAACATTTCTGGTACAATATTTCAGTTCAGAGCGTTTTTATCGCAATCAGTTTTAAAAATTTGACGAACTGAAATATCTCCGAGGACTTTCTCATTGTTCATAGCATTTTGAATATAACCTAGAATCTCTTTCCAGTTGCGGTGCTATGAAATTTATTTCATTATGGTTCAAATTTAATTTTCAGGTTCGATGGCTTTCATCTTCATTTTCGTTTGTATTTTTTGTACTATAATAATCGGTCGCCTACTATTCCATGAAAAAAGTGTAAAGAAAACGAATAAGTTAAAGACAATGATAATCAGTATGGGAGATAATGGTTTTTCTACCAGTCTATCCGATCAGAAATGTGACTTTGCGCATTTGCATTGCTCCGATTATAAAACGAAAAGGTATGGAAAAAATGAAGAAAAATGAAACTTTTGCAAAATTTATTTCAATAATGATAATGAAAAATCTAGCAATTTCTTCCAAATAATATTAATTAAAAGAGGCATCGAACTTCAGAGTTGTAGAAATTAATTCAGTACTTCGTTTTTATAAGGTAAACTGAATTATCAGCAAAACTGGTATTAGTGATAAAAGCGGTTGTATTTTCTGATAAACTGATAAGAAATAAGGAAAATGAGCTCTATTTTATAGCATCGAAAATAAAATTGAATCATCTGAAATTGGGATTTTCAGTGAATCAAAAAGCAAACCACCATCTTGGTCAAATTTTCATTTCCCGCCACCACCTTCTGGTAAACTATTTATTTATATTAAAAATAAGTTATTTATTTCTTAAAGAAATCCACACGAAGCTGAAGCTGAACTGGTTAAAATATTATTAAAATATCGATGTGCAAGAAAACACTGGGAATTATATCAGAAAATTTACATATTAAATTGTATTTTTTAAAAAATTCTTTGTCAAGGAAAGGCTTAAAATTTAAGAAATCTATGAGAACAGTAAAGAATCACCTTCTGAATCATTTCTTCCCACCGAACAAAATCTTGCTAAATCGAGCTTAATTCACTGGTCAATCCATGATTTAGCGTTAGTTTTTATGAATTTTATCATTCTTTGAATTTTTATCAACATTTATAGACAAAATAGTTCAAAATAATTCTGTGATATCCAATTGTGATTTCTATGTTTCATTTTTCACTTTAAGTTGGTTATTAATAATATTTTTTAATATTTCATGGAGGTGAAAGAAGAGAGGAACATTTGAGAGTTCCTCGGATGAAATACTGAAGCATCCTTAGAAGTTTCTTGGCTAACATCATAATGGTAGTTTTGTTCCTAAGGAAATTAAATAAAATAAGTGCTGTTCATCCCCCATCTTTTGGTTGATACTTTTCGTTATTCGATACCATTTTATGTCGACTTTAGTAATTTGTTCATGATTTTTCAAGGAAAATTTCATCAAATATTAAACACTATATTTACATGAATTTTTTATGATGACATTTTCTCTATAGAAAAGATGTTAAAAAAATTGATGCAAAATCAGTAAAGCTCGGTCCAGAACTTGGCCGAGGTCGATTTACAATAATTCGAAGTTGTATTATTAACGACAAACCAATGGCTGCAAAAGTGCTTAATGCTGATCATTTGATGCAAAGGAGGTTAGTTGAAATCATTCTTCATTCGTTATTTTTATCACTAATATGAGAAAATATTTAATTTGCATTTCTTACCTAAAATTTTTCATCTCTCCATTTTTGTTTTGGCTCATTTCATTTGGCATTAGAGTGAAATTTTGGCCCTATATTGCCCTCAGCAGAGAACATGCATGAGAAGCGGTCTGAATTCTGTAATTTTTTTTACGCTTGCAAAAAAGTCGAATCCATGGTGGTTGTACAGAGGCAAAATTCCACTCGGCTACTAATATGGCTTACTTTTGATTTTTAGTCTATTGGTTGAAATTTGGGAAAATTAGCAGTAAAATTCGAAATTTATTTTCAGAAACGTATTGATAGACGAAGCCAAAATATTGTCACATATCAATCATCCGAATATAATTAAAGTCTGTTCTATAACCTTAATTATTGTGTTAGCGATATTTAAATGCTTTTCTATGGTCCTATTTTTTAAAAATATTTGTAAGCCAAAATGAAAATGCAAAGTTCTTTCATCTAAAAAACCCCTTTAAAGTGACAATTCAAAATAGAACACAAAGTCTGAATTTTGAATATATCCAAATATTCAAGTAAATCCGAATTTCCTTTATGCGAAATGCATATTTGAAAAATTTTTCACATCGATTGTTCTGCCAAACTTTTCAATAAAAACGAATAATAAAAAATTTTTTAAAGATATACGGTATCGATGTTGATTGTACAATTTATTTAGAACTTCTACAACATGGAAATATAAGGGATTTCATACGTCGTCAGGTGGATATATGGTAAATTTTTTAAAAATTATTATGGTTGAGGATATTTTGCCAATAAAAATTGAAAAGTTTTGGGTAAAATCTATGAAATAAAAAAATATAAATGCAATAAAAAATAGATCTAAATAAATAAGTAAGAAAGAAAGGAGATAATAAGAAAAAAGAAAATCTCAATCTCGACCAGAAATTTGAAATTTGGTGGATTTTAATATGGAACGATTGCAGAGCCATGATGGATATTAAATAAATATCGTTATATTTCAGTTATTTGGATATCGTTAGATTTATTAATGAAATCGTCGGTGGTATGGAATATCTCGAACAGGAACAGTTAATCCATGGACATTTGAGTCCACAATGCATTCTGGTTGATCTAAATTTGCGAATTAAAATTGCTTCACCCCGAGGGGTCTCCCACCATGCACAACTTCGTTATAGTGCACCTGAATCCATTATTATGGTGAATTCTTTCGTAAATTTCTTCTATTATCCATTAATTTCAAAAAATAGTGTTAATGGAACGATTTTTCATAAAATAGAAGCATTTGTACAATTGCAATGATTAGTGGATTTTTGTGAATGAGTGTGACTGGTGCCACTTTCATCCATTAATGGCGATAAACCTGTCATAAAAAGTCAATTTGAGGTGATTACTGAGCACTCACTTCCATCTCAATCTCAAAATTCACTCAAATGTGAAAGAGACATCTGAATTCCCTATTTCTATAATCAGAGCAGTGGTACTACAAAAAACTGGATTTAATTTCTACTGATTGTCTAAAAATAAATTTCAGAACGAATGGAGTTGCAAAGGTGATGTTTGGTCGTTTGCTATTACCGTTTGGGAACTGCTTGGATATTGCAAAGAATATCCATTTGGTGCATTATCAAATAAAGAACTTCTGGATAATGCTCGCCAATATTTTGAAGGCTCAAAAACGGTAAAGGTTTAAAAATTCAACTAACTCGTTACAAATATTTTATGACTTTAATTATTTTTTCCTCCTGTAGCACCAGAGAAACAATATCGGAGTGGTTTGTTGCCCAGATTATTATCGCCTCAACTCTGGCGGGAATAAATTTGCCATTAGAAAATCTGGTAAATCTACTTACTACCTCATCTACCTTTATATCCATCGTCAATAGTCAAATAGTCGGCAAACATTTATCCCCTAATTAACAGGATTTAGCCTAACATGAAATGGTGAAAACAAATCATTTACTTAATTTTTGTTTCCTTTTTGTAGATTTTCATTTCTTAATTTATTATTCATATAGACATTCATTTGGCTCGATTTTATTGAGCTATTAACATTTCATCATGCAACCTTTATTGTTTGACATTTTCGGCAATTTATCGGTACTTAAAATCTTCTTGTCTGTCAGATTATATCCATCTGGCATACGCAATTTTGGTTAATATGTCTGTAGTTTTGGTATAATTTGGTATAATTTGTCACTGTTGCTTACCACATGCGAAGAAGACCGATTTCAGTTAATCATTTGTACCAGTTAATGCCAGTTAATTAATTCGCTTTTATATTTCACTTTTTTATTAAAACATTTGCATAAGATGCTCCATTGCGTTTGTCGGTTAAGGGAATTAAATTCCTCATTGTCGGAAACTGTTTGAAAATAGATTAGTTAATTTAGTGATAATTCTTAACAGAGTGATAAAGCAACTAAGAAAAGTGGTTAACGCTTACCATTTTTGGTGAAGTTCTTATCACGTCATTACTTGGCGATAGGAGTAATGGTTCTTAATAGGAATAAATCTATATTTAAAGTATACCATATAACAAAGATCTGTTCACCTGTGCCTTCTTTTCATAATTAACTTTCTAGCAGAAGGGTAGCGGAGCCAGTTAGACCGGACGAGAAAATTAAACCGGTAATCTGCTATTGGAAGAAGAGTTATTTATGTTTATTACAGGTGAGTCTCGAATTTAACCAAGAAATCTCGAAACAATTGGTTAATCTATTAAAACGATGCTGGTATAGAAATTCATTTGAACGACCAAATTTCCATGAAATCCAGCATTTTTTTTCACAAGCGTCATTGTTATCTGTTGGTGAAACATTGTAATGTATCAGTGAAGTGTACAGTTTGCTTTCTGTGATTTGTAATACTGCCATTACGTAATTCAGCTATTTTATTTGCTTCCTCATGTGGCACCTCTTAGGTTTTTAAAATTTGTTCCTCGCACCATTGGTTAAAAATTATCGAGCTGATCGATTAAATATTACAAAAAAACACATTTTTGTTATTTTATCTTTCAACTCTCATCTTAAAGTATTTTATGCCAAAGTTTTAAAATTGTATAAAAATTATAAAATTATGAAAATTATAAAATCAATAACGAAACGAATTTACTCATACATTAATGAATGATAATTATGATAATAGCTTTAATCACAACCATCGAAATCATTGAACAATTTTATTTTTGACCGGTACCGGTAAAAATTAATTAACGGGTAAATCAGTTTCATCAGTATAATTCTAGGAACCAACATTCTTTGAGTTTCTTAGTTCATTTTGTTATAATCTAAAATGAAATACCTAAAATTTTCGTAATTACAAACATAGTGTTTATAGTTTTCTCATTAAAAAAGCATAAAGTTGTATGAAATTTATACTGTAATATGGCCATGATATCTTCTAATTTTTCTATGCCATTTTTTAAACAGCTAGTACCACTCATTGGTTGCTCTTTGGTTGACATTGGTGACTATTAGGGTATTAGGCATTGATTTTTTCGCCAGAGGATAAGTCCATTGCTGATCGATCCTTATTTCACTTTCTTTTTTCAGATATATTTCAAATTTTTTTGAAATGTATTTTGATGATTTAACCGGAAAAATCCCGTAAAATTAGGAATTACTATTTGTCCTTTTCTGTGAAAAGAGAATTTTCTTTAAATTTTTTTGCATTTGTCTAATCCAACGAAATTGAACATAAATTGAACATATATAACACGAAATTGAACAATGAAAGTTTCTCGAAAACTTTTCCAGTATCTCAAATCATTACTGGTTGAAGTGGTTCTGCTGCCTAAAAAGATGACAGCTTTTCCAAACCGAACTATTTCCAAGAAGAACAAACCATAGCTATTTCTCACAGCAGGAACTGGTTACCATCACAATAGCATTCATTCAATAGCGAATTAAAACATAAAAAGCTGGATATCATCTGGTCTGGACGATCCATACTAGTTATAGAAACTAACAGATGAACCAGCTGCCTGTAGCAGGCTTTCATCTCGAGTGGTTAACACAGGGAAGGATGGTACTGACGTACTGATGTACTGATCATAAAAAATCTACATAAAGGAATAAGGGAAAAGGTCAAACTATCGACCAATCAACCAGGTATCATAGTGATAGACAAAAAGCAGGTATTAGCACTGATGTAGAGAATATAAAATGGAGAAATCGTGGAAGAAGGGGAAAAGGCTAAAAAAAGAGAATGCGAAAATTGAAGACCAAAGTTTCAAAGTCTCAACTGTGGTAAAAAACTATGGGCACCTAAATCAAAAAGATGGCTCCAACAGATTCCAGGAATAACACCTCTGCCTAGAAACCCAGGCTTCTGGTAGAAAAAGCAAGGTTGGGGGACAACTCATATAGGGAGTATGCATGCATATATTTATGTAATGCAGAATATTACAATTATACATGTGATCTTTCCAAAATATGTAAGGCCTTATCACCATCATAACAGTCCAAATATTTGAGTCACTGGAATTTTAATACTGACATGAATCGACAAAAACCAACATCCACCTCTTAAAAAGCAAATAATGCAAAGTTCCATGGTCTAAAATTACCGACATGAAAAGCCATGTGCTGATGGCACAGATAAATAGGTGACACAATATTTACAGTGACACAGTATACACAATATATAAAATGTTTCGCGATTAATCTATCAATATCTACCAGTATCAATCTATATCAATTATCACAACAAAAATCCATATGTTCAGCCAAACCATACATACTGCACCAAACGATTGGTTCCACAAATGCAAACAACTTCCCAGCTGCAAATGTCAAACCCTACCCTACTGAATCCCATAATTTGCATGACGAAATATTATGTATGGGTTCGTTTTTATAGCTGAACACGTACAAATCTGATAAAAGATAATAAAAAGATGGCGGGAGCGACCTATTAGTATATGTTTAGATGGCTCTTTAACGAATAAATCTTCTAAATATATATTACTTCTAAATCTATCAGTGGAACTGAAACAGAATTGGTACCATTTCGAAAAAAAAGCTTTAGAAGAATGATTAATGAGTTTTGCATCATTATAACCTGAAACACGTGGCTGCTTAAGCCGAGTCACGCAAATACCTTAGAATCAAATTAAGTTTCCTTCGTTATAATAAAATGAGAATAATTGTAAAAAGTCGAAATTATTAATAGTTATGCGATGAACGAATTGTGACGGTGTAAACGTTAATAACGACGTGAAACAGTCGCATAAAGCATAAAGTATCGATAAGAGACTGGCAGACAATAAAACGTTCGATTAGTAATCACGTAACGAAGAGTATCGCAGACAGCAAGTGCGTTAAGTGAGAAACACGTAATGACGAAGACAACAACGACGATAAATTCGATTTGACGTACGTTGCGTGTTGGTGTGTGCGTTCATACCTCTATCTCCATCAATAACGGCTCATTCGTTCTCTTTTTCACCTACTGCTTTTTAATTGTACGTGAAACTCGACGTTCACGTGTAAAGATATTCATATTTTTGTATTTGATCTATGTCAGTCGTGGATTCCGATGAACGTGTTCTTCCAAGTCGTACGCCTTCCGAGGATTTAAATTCAACAGTTCTTGAGGTTCATTTTCATCTTTTCTTTTAATATTAAATTTTTTAAATCTTTAAATTTTTAAATCATTATTCTTTTTCCTGTTTTCAATTTCCTTTCTGATAGGGTCAAAGGTTAGGCTTCTGAACAAACTTGCAATTGAGGATGGAACTCTGGTGCTTTATTCAGGTTTCCACTCATTCAGGCTTCGACGAAATTTTTCTTACATCATCGATGTTTTGACCTTTTAACCTTTTGGTATTTCATTGGCAAAATGATTCGTCATATGTCACCGATCTTATTCACCATTTTTAGTCATCGTTATCTTTAATATATCATTTGGCCTAATCATTATGACCTTTAGATCTGATTCATTTAGGTGATTTGTTTTTGTCGTTCGCAGTTTATAGAAACGCAAGTGGATTGATTCATAGAATTAGACAACCTGGTACGAATTTTTTTCTCGTCATATGATAAGTAACGCTAATCACTTGCTGGGCAGCTTCAAATATCATTCAGGACCTTCTTCTTTTCAAAATTTTTTAACCTTTGACTATAACCTTTGACCCTCGAGTGATCGAATTGATGAAATTTGGCTGAATCGGTGAATTTCAGGTAAAATGTGGTCAGTTGATTGCTCGTTTACATACCGATAAATTTATATGTCCTGGAATTCATCAACCATGTATCGAGTTGGATGGTAATTAAACAATGATGATAAGAATAATAAAATTTTGAATTATTTAACCTTTTTGTCTATAATTTTCATTTAATTTTTATTATTCCTTATTTTTTTAAGGTGAAATGATTAGTCCAAAAGAATTTACAATACGAGCGAATAAAGATAAACAAAAGGATTGGAAAGGTAGCATACGAATCGGTAAATCTAATATGAGGTACCATAATTTGTTTATTTAAATTATATTAGCAGCCAGGTTTAGCCGTAGCCTTTATGGCCAGTGGAGATGCTAATTTACGTGGTAACAAACGATAATTTAAAAAACCAATTGTCTATTAGCAATTTAGAGAAAAGTATATATCGCAATTTTAATTTATTTATTTAATTTTATTTTATTCATATTTTATTTATCAATAATTTATTAAAAAGTAAAAATAATGCTAAATAATGAAAGGAAAATTATAGATTAAGTAATAGTAATAATAAAAAGTTTTGAAAATGGCCAAATATTATACATAAAATCAGTTTTCTATTACAAAATTAAAAATGAAAATAAAAATTATAAGAAATAAGTTCCTCTAAACATTGCGAATTAAAATTAGATTAAAAGTATTTTCTCGGATTTGATTTGTTAAAAGATGAGACTTCTTGGTTTATTATGGTTTTTAATTTCAGGTCGCTGATGGAATGTAAAAGTTTGGATTTCTATAACCACGATACATATTGTAGTGCAAAATGCCAAAGCCGAAATTATATAACATCAAAAAATTTCGTTGGTGATTTATCGCTAAAACCAGATGTTTTTTTTGGTGCATCAACATCAAACTGCGAATTATCTGATACGAATCCTTGCGGGTGATTTTTTAAATATTAGATTTTTTGGGTAGCGAAAAAGTCACGTGTTTAAATAGATAGTAATCTTATAATCATCTTACAATCTTCGAACAGCGCTATTTCTGGTTTTGATTGCCGTTCTGGTTTTTTTCATTAGTGTTCATTTCTGGTTACGCTTGCTCCGCTAGCTTGTCGGACCAGATAGAGTTTGTTTGTCAGAAAATCAATTGGCGATAGAAATATAGAATAGGTTGCCAGCAAGATTCGGATTTTTAAACAACAGGTTACTCCTATCTGTGTGAACCTATCGGAGTTGGGATATGAGAGAAGCAAGTCGGCTGCTGTGGTTACATCTTTAGAAAATTCTTTCGTATTTATTCTTGAAATATTATCATTTTAGAAATACAGTTATCTCAAATGCCCTCCAACGCCTTGTCAATAATCCATCTGCATTGGCTTCTATAAGTTAGTCATTTGTTCAGTTAAAATAGTCAATTTTTTGGACCATTTTTTCAAGATTTATTAATTCATAAAAGTTCTATTTTTTAATATTACGTGTAGGATAATAAAATATCAAATATTTTTGATGATCAACGTCGGAAACCATTAAATGTTCGCTGTGAAATTAAGTGAAATTTCGTGTTTATCGACGCATAATCCTGTTTAATGGGGCAGGATAACCGGCTAGTTGGTGTTTTAGGTCATAAAGGATTTTATAATCTAACAAGAGCAACTGTTCATAAGTGCAAACCTGTTATAAAAAATTCGATCAGTACTGCCAAACCGCTTTAACTTTTATCATAACTGAATCGTTGTGCTTGAAATTTCGTGCTAATAGCCAATGGAATTAGCCTAACCACAAATGATGACCATAAGCCACTTACTTATTGATTCTATTATGCTGCGTGCAACTATTCTCGAATGTTACATGCATTATAACATTGTCCTATCGTCATATAGCGTGGATTAATTAGGCAGTGCTTATTCACTGCTTATCACACGACTTTTTTCTTGATCCAATCAAGATATGGATTGGTATGGTCAGGAGAGATTTTGACTGCCTATCCAACTATATTGGCCTTGGCGGCGGTGGATCAGGTACAATATCGGATGGAAAGGCTTGAGAACGCTTTCAGATAGAGTTAGCCTGTACAAAAAATGGTATTAAAAGAAGAAAGATAAAAATATTGGTTTAGTAATTAACAATGTTGAAAAAACATAACGAAAAATCTCCAGTTTGAAAAAAGCGACCACTCGTAACTAAAATTGAAATTTTTTTCAATTTTTTACAGGAAATTTTTTACAAGATTTTATTTTTAGATTTTCTGGATTTCGGAATTTTTTTTCATTGTTTTATTTAAATAATAATATTAATATGTAATAATAATTAAATAATATATTGAATTTTTTGAGCAATTTTCACCGCAAAGTAAATAGTTCCAGGTATTATGAGCGATCAGTTGATTTTATCAACGTTATTATCATCAGGAAATAGTGGTCGAACAACTGATGGTGCTGTATTAAAACAAGAAGATAGCGTTGACCGTTCTCATCTGACTAATATCAGTAGAGCTATGCAAGACCGTCAGTTATCTTGTTTTTTCTTTTAAATATTTTATCGTTTTACGTTTATTCTTAAAATGCATAAGATAATATTAATAAGCAAAAATATAGAACTGCTTACCGATATTTTAGAACCCGTTAAATTTTGGACTATGGTCTCAGACATGGGTCTGTTCGATGAATTTATGAATATGATTATTACCGCAATTAATCAAACACAACGATTAGTAAGTATGGGTTCAGCTCAACGTGATGCAGGTAATAAATATTGTAATTTTTTTATTTTATCCCTCCAAATTTTATTTTAAAATAGATTATGGATTAAATGGATCAAAATGGATTGAATGGATCCACGTAAAATGTAATAATTTCATTTTTGGCGATTATTATGATTATAAGGATGTATTTTGTAATATTTTTATATTATTTTTCTATTATTTCAAGTTGTACTTTTAGTTGCCGAAAAATTGTCGCAAATGGCAAAGGTGTTCGAACTGGAAGATATTATCAGTACCCGAATACATGCGAAACGTCTACAGTATCTCGTGGATACCAATTTATTAAAAAATAAATTCCAAGGTATGTTTTGGACTACTTATGAATAAGGTAAGGAATCGAATCCACGATGCTTAGCTTCAGCTAGGCCTACTAACTACCATCCTATTGTTTCAACTTTTTAAATGCATATCCCTATAAAGGTTGATTTTATTGGACTTTTTTGATTTGTCAGGAGTTCCATTTGTATAAACTGATTTTTTTTTTATAAATTTAGAGCTAAAATAAAGTTTTTTCACTGCAATAAATATTACTGATTAAAAATTTAGTCGCTTTTCTGGTCGCAGAACTTTAATTTAATTCGATATAACGAGAGGCGATAAATATTGAATGTAATAAATTTTAGCTGTTGATGAAAGTAAAGAATTAAAGAAACTGGTGATTGGTGACAATAAGTTATATTATATTCTTCTAAATTTCTAATTGTTCAACATCTTGAATTAAGCAGAATTGCAACGAAAAACGGAGGAATGTCGTCGAGAGCTGGAAGAAGCGCGACGAAGGGTGGCTCAAATCGATGAAATCGTTTTAGACCCACTTTTATTTCCTGTAAAACGCAGTCGACTTTCCAGTACAGAAGATGTTATCGGTGGTATGGCTAAAAATGATTAGTCACATTCTTTTTTTGTATATATAATTGGCTTTTTATTTTTTAGACTTCAGTTGAAGTCCGTTGGACTTTAATGAACTTATTTTCACCGATCTGGCCATCCTGCTTAAGGGAAATTTGTAAAAAATAGATTAAAATTGTACTCAAACGTCAATTCGGTCTCTATTTTGAAGTGATTGTGCGAAATGCTGCTATCGATGGTTCTTTTGATTCTATAAGGTCTCCCCTTTCCAGTCTCCATTAGCATCCTTCAATTCACATTTCTCATTGCTCATAATTCTTTTTTGCTTTCTGTTTAAATTTTTTACTGTTTAATGTGGCTTTTATAGGAAATTTTTTGGTTAAATTTTTGCCGGTCATATTACTTGTTTAGCTTTATTTTTTAAAATATTTTTATTTATATTTTATGAGCCTTTTTTACGGAATAATATTCCAGTAGGAATTTAATAAAGAAAATTGTTATGCCAAATACAAAAATATTACAAATTTTCTGGAGCATTATTTGCATATTTATATTTATATTATAATTTAAGTATAAAAAAATTAAAATCTTTTATTTTGATTTTTTGATGAAACATCTTCCTGTGTCGTATTTAACAAATGGGTATGCGGGCTTAATTTTGAACGATGTAAACCTCGGCGTGGATTTGTACGTTTACTTCCCGCATCCTCAGATATGGGAGCTCGAAGAACGTAACTGTAATGCATTTCAAGTTTTCAGGTAATATTTAAATCTTCTGAGGGAAAATATTGAGAAAATAAGGTGCTTACATAATGTCGCCAGTTTCGAGTTCAGTATCAAAGTTGGGATTAATTATGACATAGGAAATGGTACTTCGTCGTTCGCCATACTCTAAATTTTGAAATATAATATTGGTACTTTATATTGATTCATATGTTATAAAGAATTCGTAATAACCATTGGTAAAGGTTATCAGCAAATGATTAACTTGCAAATTTAATGAAAATAATATTGAAATTATTATTATAACTACTTTTATTTTGCAATTTTAAGATGGTGATATTGGTTCATAAAATTTCGTCCATTTATGGCCGAAGTCCGTAAATGGGCATATGAAGGCAATCAGGCCGAAGATCTTTCTTTCCTTTCAGCTTAGGTGGGTTCTCTGAAATCCATAGGTTAAACCTTACCATAATCATCATTTGGTATTCCTAAATTGTTCATTCTGGCGCGCACAAGATTTGACAATTCTCGTTTATTATTCACCTTACATTGTGAATCACAAGTGTTCGTTTTGTCGGATGATTCCATTTTAATTGAGACCTGAAATTTATTCAGCTTGGATTCTTCTAATCATATGCCAAATGATATTTGATATGGGATATTTTTTTAATGAAATATTACTAAAAGAAATCTGAAAACAACGAACTGTATTTGAATCCATTTGTTTGGTACGGTAAATACCAATTGGGATATCAGCAACCGAACTCGCAAGTTTTTGATAAAGGCGACCATATGTTCTTATCCATAAATCTTCTTCTGTTATCTTAATCTGAACGGAGATGTATTTTTAGATATATCTCGTTCGTGGGCAGATTTTTCTCTGCTAATTGTCATTCCATAGCTTAAAGGTTTGATTTCAGCTTTGATTTAAATAGCACTTACACTTGTTAAATAGCCTGAACCGTCAGATTGATCAATGCCAAGAAGCAATCGTACGAAATCAACAACAAAATCTTTGACGAATGATTGGTAAATTAACCGATCAAGCATATTCGCCGAAAATACGCTTCCTTGTGCAAATGGCAAACGAAACATGAAAGACATATTCGATCCTCGTTTACGCTCTTTCTGAAATCCATTATTAAGTTGTTTAAGTTTTCCTTTAAAATTATAGCATTGTTTCGCTAGGCACAATTTTGGATGCAAATATGGGTCAGCGATGTAAAAACTTAGATTGCTTAGAAATACCTTCAGTGGATATGCAAAAATCAGAAGTGATAGCTTTAGAAGAAGAAGAATAAAAAGAACGGAATGGTGATACATTTCACATATCTTATCACAATTTGGGCAAAAAACAATCCTTTTATAGGCTTCACTCTTGTAATTTGAATATTTTGTGAAATATCCAAGTCTAATTTAGACAACCTTCTCGAATTTCGATTGCTGTAGAGCATATTCATCGTCCGCATTGAATTGCATGAATCGCATATTTGATGAATGGGTTAATTCAGTTATCATACGAATATTAGGGAACATCCTGAATTGAATTACTAACATTTAATCGGATACTTGTACCATTCAGAATAAATCAGTAGGATTGCATAATGGTTGTCGGCTATTCTGCTCTATTCATTTATTTTATTTTTAATTCTGGACAAAATCTTAAAATAAATTCAGAAATTAAGTAGATGTCCACTTAAGATCAAAGAATTTCAAGAATTTATTCAGTCACCGATGAATTTTTTGTACGGTAACAATAGTAGCACAATCGGCGAGATGTTCCTCGACAGAAGTAGCGCCTTCTTTTGTAACAACGACACTATCAGCCAAACAGACACCTGCCTTAAGCAGATTATCTAAACTGAAAATTAACAAAAGTCAAGCAAAATATAAAGTCGCCCGCTATGCATGAAATCAAGGGCCAATTAAAATACGCATATAATAAAATCATTTTGGAATATACTTGCAAAAACTCGATATAAGCAAAAAATACCTAGAAATTTTTCCTTGCATCCAATAAACAAGTGGGAACCACGCAATTACGTCCAAAAATACAGGATTTGGCCTGGAATAATAAATTACCTACAATAAATGGTGATTTGCTCAAAAAATTTCGATTCATTTTCGATTCATTTACTCGCAAGAATCTAAAATTTTTAACTCCATTTTATCAATTTTTAAATTTCAATTAAATATTTACTTAAAATATTTACTTATTATTCTCCTCTAGTTCAAGAAGCAAAATAATGGGTTGTAACTGATGAACTGGCCGATAATAAGCTCTATGCGGTACAATAAAATTGTAGAGACCGGAACTAGTTCGATCTGCTGCGACAATAATTGCTGGATTTGACCAATTATATTCATTGGCAGTGCGAAAATGGCAATGTTTGCAGGCCTAAAAACAAATGGGTATCTGAACAAATGGGAACAATGGGTATTTTATGGTTCATTTTAAAATAAATTTATTCGCTTCATGAAAAAGAATTTCTGGTTTTACTGGTTTCATTGATCTAGGATAGAGCAGAATAAAATTTCAGAGCAGAGGTGGAGAGGGGTCTCCAATAGTCATCTGAATTTCATTTTTAATGACAGACTTACTCTCGCCCAACTGCAGAAATCGAACCCATCCTATTTGTTTCCTTGTCCTCAGCTAAAGCAACATCCGGCTAAACGACCCGGATATATTATAATGAATAACAATGGTACTAAGCGATAAAAAATATAATAAAAATAATAATAAAATAATAAAATAAAAAAACAATAATAGAATGAATAGTAATGATAAAACTAACGGAAGCAATTTCTAAACAGCAAATTGGCCTTTTATTTTTCATCATATGGCATACTGTGAAACCAGTGCCAATATATGAGGTAACTGGTGGATAAGTTTTTGTAATCCTGTCAGAAGATTTTAGTTTTAAAAATTTTTAACATTTTTTTCGTAAATTTGTATCATGAATTGGAGTAAAATAAACTAAGTTAGTCTTTCTTATCACAACAGTTTATTTTTATGTGATAAAAGAAGTGGAGTTAATGAAGGATTCTGCATATTCGAGTCGAACTTATCGCCTACTCGATGTCCAACTAAGCAATTTTAATTGTGATAAGCTATTTATTATCAGTCATTCGTTCTTATCATTCATCAGTGATCTATATAAAAAAACCAACATTTCTGTTATGCATGTTCCTACGCATTCTGAACAATCACTCTCTTCATCTTCAGATTCGCTTTCAATTTTATTATCCTCCACAACAGCAATACTTGGTTTTCTGCTATACAATTCCTTAAATACTGTTTTTATTCAGGGGACAAAGAAACAAAGTATATATTCAATTTTCTTAAAACCATTTGTTTTCCCTTTTAATTATACATTTTTATTCATTAAAAAGGGAGAGGAATCAAAGAAAAGGAAAGAAAAGTCATGGATTTGCCGTGAATCGAAGCAACTCAATAATCGAATTAAAACATATTATTTATCAACTAATCAGTTACTTATCTTTGTAGGTCAAAATTATTACCTCAATAACACTGGCTTGTTCACAAACTCGCAATGTAATAAATCGTTTTTTTTTCTTCTTCGCTTCTTCTTTAGGAACATCTAATGGAATACTTCCTTAAAATTTTATTTTATGCAAATAGATTAGATTTCTTAAGCGATTTCTTAAGCGATAGAATACGACAGTAAGCCGATATCATCTAATGTCATACGTTATCATTTTTACTGATAGTGAATGCGAAGCAAATCTAAAAAAAAAGTTGACCTATTTTAGCAATCGTTGTAGCCACATTCGCCTTCCTTCTTTGGTCAATCACATGTTTCCTAAAATTAAATAAATTTTCCTCATTAGTGAGAGCTATGTAATAAGCAATGTCCATTGCACGGAGAGTGTAACCATGACCTGGATTTAATCGTATGTGTTCATTATATCCATTAGGTTTTATAGCAACAAGTGTAACGCCATATCTATAATTTCGCAATTAATTTATTGGTTATTTCGGTGAATTGTTTTTATGATGAAAAATTTGAAAACATACATTTTATGAGCATTGAAAGCTGCGTAAGTAAATGATTTTCCAATATATTCACCAAAAAATTTACTATCAGCAATTTTGATATGATAAATTTCATTACCCGAATGAAATCCATAAACCTGATGCCATGGTTCGCTTGATTTTTGTCCCTCTCTAAACCATATGAATTATTCTTATCAACATTCTTTATCAGTGTTCTTTAATCATACTTACCTTATCTAAACCATAAACATATCATAAATCATAAATTTATAACATAAATATAACATAAATCATAAATCATAAATTTATAAATGAATCTAACTCGCCACGCGAAGTATGTAGAAGAAGAGTGATAAATGTAGAAATAGCCGGGCAAATGCAGTTGTTTGCTAGGAGTGCAAATTTAAATTCATCTTCACACACTACCACTTCTATAAATAAAGAATAAATGCAATAGATTTAAAAAGGCAAAAAATTCTAAACATGGATATAAAAAAATTAACCAGCATGCTCGATGTGCATCTTTGCTTCTGGCCTGAATATTTGGATATATTGCGGCACATGAGGTGCAAAATCTTTCACCGCCCATGATCTCAAGATTGTATGCTCATCCTACAAGTAGAATATAAATCGAAAATTCGAGTTCTTCAAGGAATTCGTGACCTAGAAAAAACTGAACAAGGAAGATGGTTTAGAAAACAGACCGCTCGCACTTTCGCATTTATATGCCTTGCTGATAAAATAAAGCACGCTTCTGCCGAAACCATCCTGACCCGTTCCAGATCCTCATCTTTAAGAGCTGATCCTCTTAAATAAAGAACGCGAGATGCCCACATTGGAATTTTGAGAAGCATACGCATTTGATCGTCCATTTCACAAGGCGACAATAATATGACCATGAAGTCCTATAACGAAAAATCTCTAATATGAAACCATAGGAAAGCCATTTCTAAATTCTTATCAAATTCTATCAGATCGATTCAGATTCACGAAAATTTTTAATAAAAAGATTTATCAAGCATATTTACCTGATGTTCAGTATGAGCATAAAATTCAGTAAGAAAGTCACGAATAAATTCTGCTTCTAAGTAAGGTATAGTAATCACAACGTGCTTTTCATGGCTTCCCCATCCCTCAGTATATTCGCCGCCAGCTTTTTTTCGCTGTAACCATGTTTGACCCAAAGATTCAATCTAAAGCATTTCCTTAGATTTGGTTTTGTGATGACTTCCCATGAGGAACTAATGCTGATTAGATTAGATACTGATTATAATCTGCTAAATTATTTCTTGAAACATTTCTCAAAATAAAAATAAACTATTATTAACTATTATCGAATTAATGCTAAGATGTCGCGCTCAAGTTTCGGATTTTGGTGTTAAAATTCAACTTAGGAAATTCTATTAAAAGGATTTCGACAATTGACTTGCAGAGAATAGCGAACCTTACAAGCCAAAATGCATGAATATATAATTCTTATGAATATATACATGACAATATCAAATATTGTCAGTCGCGAAATCTTTTTGTGAAAAAGTGATGTTACAATTTCTTTAAAAAATAAAATATTCTAAAATATTCGAAAATGAATTTGATTAAGGAACCTGAGAAGGCAAAACTGCAAAGGCTACACATATTAGAATTATAACATATAATCGGCTCATCCATGTATCAGGGTACCAATCTCCATATCCTGAAATTCTTTTTTAGATAATATTGGCTTGAGGGGAATTTCTAACCAAATTCCGAAGTCTCATTAATTAAATGCCCATTTCAGTTCATATTGAATATGATGGTTTCATTTGAATTCTTCACGCGTTATGATAGAAAATAGCAGCAATTTGTAGCAGCCAAAAACAGGCCATTCAGCATTATGTAAAGTAGATCGTTGCTGTTATGCTGCATCTTTTCATATTTGGATCCGACTGGATTCGCTCTTCTAAATTCTTCGAATTTTCGGAAGTTCTAAATTCACTGTAACCTATTTATGCTCCTTCCGAGAGATCTACTGGCGTGAAAGACAGAAATAAATATTTTGTGGTCTCATTTTTAGAGGATATAATAGCCTTGGCTGAAATAGACGGATAAGTGCAAACTAATTGATGACCGCAGAGAATTTTAGGTTTGAAAAAAAGCAAATCTTTAAGCCTAAAATTAAAATAATGATTATATCGATGATTTATGAGTATTCAAAATAGCCTTTCCACAGAATATTCTGCAGGACTATATTAAATAAAATCACAAAGTACAAACTTACCGACGGTAGAGAATGTAACAATGACAAAGTAAAATGAAGTGAAGAGATCAAATTGACGGTCACCGCCTCGTTGAAGGTGTTCGATGCCGCACGTACCCGTAAATATTAAACAAATTAAAGTAGATAAAAGTATGATTATTTGTCGGAATAATGCCGATTGTGCAACTGAAGAGACACGATTCAGGTCGTTCTACAAGTTTATTCTTTTAATTGTAAAAATTTTAAAATTGATTTCGATAAAAAAATAAAAAATGGAAAAAATTGAATTTTTTATTTAAATTTGCCAGAATTTAGAGAAAAATAGAAAAGAGATTTACTAAAATTTTTCAGCAAATAAAAATTTCAGAGCTAAAATTCTGAATTTGGCAATTAAATAATTTTCATTATCATTTCTCAAATTATTAACGCCATTTTTTAGAAATTGGCATTGTATGGATGTGTAAATTTCCATTTATGAATTATAGATTTATCCATCTCAAAAGTAAATAAGCTTGGCGCTATCGAAAATGAACTTGAAAAATGCCCTTGAAATATCAAATTAAGACATTGGTTCCATAATAAAAACCCGCATTTTTTACGTCAAAACAAATTTGGTAAAATGACTGTTTATGAAGGAAAATAGTTTTTAACAGTTAGTTCAATAAATAGCCTTTTTCAAATATAGTCATTAATTTTGGAAAAATGTTAATTTTAAAAAAATTGCTTTTCGCTAGATGAAGCCGCAAAATTTAATTGGTTTTTTTAAAATCTCTTTTCTTCAAAATGATTCTTTTTTGCAAAATTTCCACTGATAAACAAGCTAATTAGTGGATTTTATCGTTGAGTGAGTCGAAAATGAAGATAGAATATATAAAATCATTTAATAATAATATTAATTATTACTAATATTGCTTGAAGAGCATTTTTTGCTAACCAACAATTAAGAAATATTGGAACATAAATTTCTCGCAATTTCGGCACGAAAATCTAAAATTTCTCATTATCATTTTATCGAAGAAAATCAACAAAATTCGTTAAAAATTGATGTTTTGAAATTTAAACATTTCTTTTTTAACGAAAAAAATTTTCTTCAGATATCTATTTCGTTTGATAATTCTGTTTATCAGTTCTTTGACAGCTGATGACAACAATTGTTTAGAAAGAAATATTTCAGAAAGTAAGATCGGTTAAATCACATCAAAGCAGCTATACAGTTAAGAGGCGCTATGGCTTTATAGCATAGTATCGGAATGACTTATGGCTAGGATTATTCATCTTCTTGCCCATTTGCTTTAATTTAAACTGAGTTTCTACACAAGGAAGATTATCTTCCTTATGTTTCGTTTTTAACGATGTTTTTGAAGTTCCTTTTCCTTCTTTCTTTTCTTCTTTTTTCTTTTCTTTAAGGAAAATATCGTTGAATTCGATTAAAAGGCATGCTAACCGAATTTTTAAAGAATTTATTTGATAAACTGATCAAATATGGTTTAAATTAACCAGGAAATTGAATTAATTTCGCTTAAATTTCATTAATTTTCTTTCTTCGCCTAATGGCTTTGGCTTATAATCCAACAATTCTATTGAGCATCAAAGACAATTAAGAATATAAATAAATATTATTCGGCTAATTAGAAATCAAAAAATATGAATAAATGATTCTCACCGTAATTATAAGCGGTATACTTGTGATCAATTCGAGTAGAAATGCGATATTTTGCAATAATCGAAAAATGCTACCCTAAAACAAATTTTTTTTCGAATGGATAATTAGATGGAATTTTCAAAAATGGTGTAAATAGATAATATCTCTCATATGTTAATTTTGTCCATTAATGCTAAGGGCAAAATAGCCGAGTGGTTGTTGCTTAGATTATCGCCTCAAATATCAAAATTAGATGGAACCCTGCGTTCGAAAAGAATTAAACTCTTCATTTGCAAATCGTCATTGTCATCATATCGTTATTTTCCCTCTTTGCACTCAAATAAGTCTACGGCAAAAATTTCCCATTGTGGGAACAGCCCATTGAGCGAGCGCAGCCAAATTATTCTATCGTGCTAAAGTTGGTCCGCTGCATCATTCCAGCAAACAACTATGAAACCATCAATGTTAAATCTTCTAAACTAGAGTGTTCCATAATTGATTATCCAGAAATATCTTTCTATTTTTGGGATTGGGATTGGCGCAATATTCAATTTAGCCTTAGAGAATAGAATTGAAGGGTTTTCAAAAAAATGGAAAAATTACAATATAACACGAAATTTTATTTTTATTGTGCCTGTAGAAGAAAATTTCTCGTGACAAATTATCTTTTTTTCTATTCAATTACTGTGGTGTGCAATTTTTTGCGAAAAATATCAAATAAACAAACCTTAAAACTGAGATAAAAGATGATAATTGTTTGCAACATACTGACGATAGCTACGATTACTTGGCTAAGCCATAAATAAAAAGGATTATTAACCCAAATAAGATAACTACTGAAAAAAATTTTTATCATGAAACATTCTTATTAAGTTTAATTGAAATTGAAAAATAAATGATTTATCGTTGAATTCATTATCTCTACAAAATCGAATCACGAGATAAGAAAATTTATCATAATCATTTCCAATAAAAATCGTCTTTTTCGCCCATCCCTTGGCTTAATCTTTCTTTCTCATTTCACGATTTATTAGTTTCAAAAATGCAATTTTAAAATAAAGAAATTGGTAAAAAAAACATTAAAATAAAATCTCATCTTAATACAAGAATGATAAATTTCAAGAATATTATTTTCCATAAGAATTTTTAAAATTCCATGAATTTTTTTCAAAAAAATGAATTATTGAAAAATTTGAATAATCCAGAACTGGATAAAGTAAACGAGAACGTACTACTTTATTTGACCCGGAGCATAAATTTTTTCTGGAACATGTTTTGGTAATTCGCCGTTATCACTCGCAACTCTTAGGCAGTACAAAATGCATGATAATACTTTTATAAATAAGTTAAATAATCGAATTCTAAAACCTGGAAATAGCAGGATTTTCATGAAAAAATCTTTCTTCTTACTTTTTTCTGTTTTTTTCATATTTTCATGAGCCTAAAATATAGCGTAAAACCAAATTAATCTCGAAATTCTCATAATCCTAAATCTTGACGATCATTAGAAAAAGAATAAAGCTAAAATTTGCGCAGAAACATTCCCTAAAAAAAGGAAGTGTAGTTATCATTGATCACAACTAGCTGATAAAAGTCTTCATCTTGAATTCATATAAGAATAGTTGCCTAAGAGTAATTAGCGAAAAAATAATAGAATTATCTCGAAGTTATAGAAAAGGAGAAACCAAATTTTGCGAATTTGCAAATTTGTCCTCAAAATATTATTTTTTTCTTAAATTTATCTAAATTCCTTTTTTACTTTTCGAAATGAATGCTTTTTTCTTGAAAGGATTGCATATCAAAGGCATCCATAGAATTTATTTATAGAAAATAGAAATATATTTGTAATGAGAAATGAAAATATTGCGTTCTATTATAGCTTAATTGTAGCTTTTAAGTTATATCTAATCTATTAAGAATTATTCCCAAAGGCTATTAAAAATTACAAAAATTATAAAAAATTATAAAAATTTTATTCCAGAAAAAATTAATTTATGTAAATAGAATTATGGCTGTTTTATTGCTGCATTCAGCAAAGTAAGACAAATTAAATTTCCATTTTTTCTATGATATATTGTTTTTTATAATTTTATTTGTTTAAGGCTTCATTCTTTTCAAAATTTTAAATTTTGAAATTTTTCTTGTTTATTACATAAAAGTGAGAAAATTTTAAGAAAAATTGTAAAAATTGTAAAAAAATTAAAAAATTAAAATAATAAAAAATAATAAAAATAATACTTACTCGTTCTTATACTTTCGATATAATATAGTTGAAGCCTTGCTTTTAAATTTTGCTTATCGCCATATTGCATTCGAGCACTAAAATATTTTTATGACAATTAATATATAATTATCGTTTTTTATCTCAAATATTTATATTTATAAAGATTTTATTTTATTGTTTTTTTTAAAATATATCACAGCATGAGCATTAATTTTAGGTATCAAAATTTTTTATTTAGTATTAAAATATTTTAAAAAATAAAAATAAAAGTGTGATAAACGCGAATATTTTAAAAGATATATCGTCTGGATTTTTGCTTTAAATAATTATCAGCTCAGTTATCAGCTCAAACTGATTAGATAGCGATTTTCAGTAACAAATTAGAATAACAGAATAGTTATTAAATGATGAAAATAAGCATACTAATGATTATTCGAGCTGCACTGTTTCATATTCTACTAGTGAATGAATGAATGCTTTGTTTCCCAAATTTTCCTCATATTTCATGACTATCGATTTAGGCTTAAAATTGAAGCGATTTGAATATGGCTACATAATCAAGCATATCCCTTATAATATTATTTTCTTTTCTTTAACATTCGCATAGCTAAACTAACTATTCAATTAGCATTCGCATAACCAGTTGAACGAGCAATGTTCTAATACAAATGTCTACTCTTTTGCAAATATACGCGCATTTACTCTGTTATGTCTCCACTTTATTTGAAAAATAACTAAACAGCTCAGTTGTAAAAGAAAAGCGAAGAGAATAAGTAGAATACAATATTAGAAAAGAGTAATGACTATATGACTATGTATGTCGCTATTTATGTGTATTCGCTTTTTTACAAGCTCTGTGAGCCATTTATGCATTTTCGCTCTTTTACTAGCCATTTGCTCTTTTATAAGCCAGTTATTTATATATATTTGCTTTTTTATAAGCATCGCTGTTAGCCATTTATTCGCTCTTTTTTTAAGGATCCTTTTCAGCTATTTATGTGTATCCGCTCTTTTATATAAATATATATGTATCAATTCGCTTATAAATCCGCTATTTTAAAAAAAATCCTTTTTATAAATGAAAAATATCGGAAATAAAACAATATAAATAACGAGAATAAAGAATATATAAAATATGTAAACAGTTTTTTTTAAAAGAATTATTAGACCATCAATTCAAATTTTCTTTCAAATTTCAACAATTCCATTTTTCATTTTTTTAAGAATTAGTTTTTTTTTAGTTGAAATGTAATGCGATGCGTTATGATGTAGTAATGAATTATTTATTTTTTCTATTTTTGATCTAATGAAAAAGTTTCTCAGTTTCAAAATATTCAAAATTATTGGGCCAATAATTCATTTATTTATAATAATATTATTATATTATAATTTATAATATTATTGTTTATAACAATAAAAATTAAATATAATAATATTAATAATGAAAAATAATAATAAATATAATTATAATAAATATATAATAAATATATAAATAATAAATATAATTTAAATAATGTAATAATAAATATAATTTAAATAATAATAAGCTTTTTAACAAAATGATGTTCTCTTTCTCTTCTCGATTCTCGATTTCAATCACAGATAGACTTTCCACGTCTAATTTGACAAATTTTTGACATTCTTAAGATTATTATTATTATTATTATTATTATTATTATTATTATTATTATTATTATTATTATTATTATTAAATATTATTAAAAGTTTCCTAAAATCAAATGAAAAGCTGTGTTATTGGCGAATATCTTTTTTTTGGTTTGAAATGAATGAATCGTAAAATAATTTTTTTCAGTTTTTCTTTCCAACAATTCCTAGGATTTCTAAATTTCATAAAGTTTCATAGAATTTTCTTGCATTTTCAAAAAGTTCGTAAAGTTGTAAAAAACTGAATTTCTCGACGATGATCAATTCATACACCGCACAGATAAAATTTTTATAAATTGAAAAATCTCAAATCTACAATTTCTGGTGAATTCCAATACGTAATTACTATTAAAAGAAACCTAATTCGAACAAATTCTAAATTACTGGAAATTTTTTTAAAAAAATCGTACTGTTCTGATTGATGATTGGGTTCCTTATTCAGTGATATATCCGATTTTGTTAGCGATGCAATAAAATCTTGCGATTCCGCACTGGATTGGTGCGTAGCATTAATCAGCGGCTGATTTTGATTCATTAGTAAGAAAAATTACTTAAAATAATTGGTTAATTATTTATAAATAGTAGTGAATAATTTGTTCAAAGGCTCCTTCAGAAAGAAATGAAATCAATTGAGAATCAAAGAATTGGGATTATATGAAAAAAGACTGAACTCTGATGAACAACTAGTTCCCAAGTGTCGAAGTGAAGAAGAATGAATGACTGAGAATCAATGAAAATGCGAGGAAAAATAGTTGAACTCTCGGGTCCGAGAAATGGGATGGATGAATGGATGGTTGGATCGCCAATAATTTCTTTTTATTTCTTCGTTAATATAATAAGACTATAAATTATAAATGAGAAAGCAATCTAATCGGCGCATTTATTTATTCATTTTTTTCATTGGAATTTTTGCTATTTTTCTTTTTTTTTACATTCCATAATACTTCACAAAAATGGCGTTGGAATGGATATCTAAATGGATTCAATAAATTTCCATCTCTCCGGAAAATGAAATAGCATCGAATTAATTCTGATTCTTAGATAAATCGGTTATTAGGCGATTTGCGCGAAGAAATATTAGAAAATTTGAGTTAATAAGGACAAAATTATGACTTATTTAATAAATAAATCTCCATAAACCTTATAGTAAGCTAGATTTTTTTAAAAGACGACTCACCATTACTAGTTAGACTCGCTTCGCTGGCTTATCGCACTAGATGAATATGCCAGGGAGTCCCTTGGCGATAGA